GTCTGCATTGTAGTGTTGTATTTTTTTTTTTGTGACGTATCAAAATGTATTCGCCCTTAGGCCTCGGCCTCGAATTTTGCGGGCAGCGGAGCGGCAGCGGGAGCGGCAGCGGGAGCGGGAGCGGGAGCGGCAGCGGGAGCGGGAGCGGGAGCGGCAGCGGGAGCGGCAGCGGGAGCGGGAGCGGGAGCGGGAGCGGGAGCGGCAGCGGGAGCGGGAGCGGCAGCGGGGGAGCGGGAGCGGCAGCGTGGGCGGCAGCGGGAGCGGGCAGCGGGAGCGGGAGCGGGAGCGGCAGCGGGAGCGGGAGCGGGAGCGGGAGCGGCAGCGGGAGCGGCAGCGGGAGCGGCAGCGGGAGCGGCAGCGGGAGCGGCAGCGGGAGCGGCAGCGGGAGCGGCAGCGGGAGCGGCAGCGGGAGCGGCAGCGGGAGCGGCAGCGGGAGCGGCAGCGGGAGCGGCACCGGGAGCGGCAGCGGGAGCGGTGACCGCCCGCGTTGCGCGTCTGCATTGTAGTGTTGTATTTTTTTTTTGTGACGTATCAAAATGTATTCGGACGTGCAAGAGCAAATTATTTCGGCAATCTTTGAGAGGACACCCTTATGGAACAGCAAAGATGTGAACCATAAAAATAGAAGATGAATTAACCAATTATGGGAAGAAATAAAAAACGAACTGAATATTGAAGGTAAATATAATATTCTTTGTCTTTTTGATATGTATCACCTGATTCTAAATAAGAAATAAATAATAATTTTTTTAGCGAATTAAACAAGGTTTAGCAATTTAAACTACTTAAAAGATATTAAAACAGAAGGAGATTATTTTTCGTAAGCGAGGGTGTGCGTGCGAGTATCGCCGTAGCGGTGACGGACAAGCATTACACATCTAAAGTCTATGTGGACTGACGAGTGACGAGCCAGCTGACCAGCTGAGCGGACGGCGCAGTGTCCGCTCAGCTTGTCAGCGGCCGTTAGGCCTCGGCCTCGAATCTCGCGGCGCGCCAATGGGGCGGGCAACGCATACTTGTTCTCGAAACTAGCGGGCAGATCGCGCGGCACTATAGCGGTGTAGTGTTGTGTTCGTGGTTGTGTTGTCGAGATATTTGTTTTATTCGCGAACAAAATGTCTGAAAAACGGCGACATCTTTATGATTCGAAATCATTCCTAATGCTCGATTTATTGTGGGCAAAAGAAGAAGTGGACCCCTACTATAGGGCAAGGAAAATAAATGGCGAGTTTTATCGAAACTATGAAGAATAGAGACAAAATCCCGACAGATTCTACGACTACACCAGAATGAGTGTAGAAACATTTGACTATATTCTTGAAACTATCAAGAGTGATTTAGAGTCTGGAATTAATTCAAAACGATTTAGATCTATATCTTTTAGAAATTGTGTTGCACTAATTTAGTAAATCAGTGTAAACTCTATATAACGACAACAATTAAGTAATAAAAAATACCTTTTAAGTAGCTAAAATTATATTATAAAATTATTATTAAACCTTGTTTAATTCGCTAAAAAAATTATTATTTATTTCTTATTTAGAATCAGGTGATACATATCAAAAAGACAAAGAATATTATATTTACCTTCAATATTCAGTTCGTTTTTTATTTCTTCCCATAATTGGTTAATTCATCTTCTATTTTTATGGTTCACATCTTTGCTGTTCCATAAGGGTGTCCTCTCAAAGATTGCCGAAATAATTTGCTCTTGCACGTCCGAATACATTTTGATACGTCACAAAAAAAAATACAATACTACAATGCAGACGCGCAACGCGGGCGGTCACCGCTTCACTGGAGTGCACCCGTGCACCGCTCGTTGCCCGCCCCCGCCCTGCTCCTGCACCGCTGTATTCGAGGGTCGGTCCATTTGATTATACGCGTATGATCTTGCCGCTCCCGCTGCCGCTCCCGCTGCCGCTCCCGCTGCCGCTCCGCTGCCCGCAAAATTCGAGGCCGAGGCCTAAGGCCTAAGTTCAACCGTTCGTGGGTTATAAGTGGAGTAACTAACGCGACTTTCTTTTATATATGTATATAGATAACGCTTATATATTGATTGACTTTCTTTTATATATGTATATAGATAACGCTTATATATTCAACTAGCGTAGACCCCACGGTCAAGTAAATTACTCTGCCAAGAAAAATAGAAGTTATTAAATACATTATGTGGTTAAGAGTAATTACAAAATAAAACACACACTTGACCGCTATCTAATGAGATAGTGACTAACAATAGGGGTGCCTAATACTTTTGCACGCAGCGTATAAAATAAATAAATTTAAGTAGAAGATAATAAATAAATATAAACAAAGCGTTCAGAAACAGAAAAGAAACTGAAAGCAAAATATTTGAATATATGGCAACAGTTTGAAGTTATCAAATTACTCAGTGAAGATTAATTTTTTTGGGTCAGTTATTGACCATCTCAAGATGTCCTATATTATTTCAGTATCCAAGTATGGATAAAGACTAACTACAGTCGGTCTAAAAATTAAGATTTACAGATATTAACACAAATACAATTATATTTTCATTTATAACGTAAATTCTAGTTATTCTGCAAATTTTTAGTTCTTGAATTTTATTTTTATGTCAATTTTTAGGTACTTCTAGGAAATTAAAAGTAAACAATGTTTAGAATTACAAAATTATATAAAAAAATGATTTCCGTACAAACATGGACCCGGGTCCTTTTCCATTAGATAAACAAGTAAACCTTTCAGCCCTTTCGTTAGTAATTCTTCCTTTTTTTAGAAACTTATGAATTTTAATGAACGCAATTCAACCCTTCCCTTTGTGAAATTCAATCTTTATACAGTAGGTATGCTAAATGACGAAAATATTATACTATTATTTTTTGTAAAATTATTGATATAAATGTATATACACACAATTGTAGCTAAATTTATAGAAATTAATCACACTGACTGGTTTTAAGTGATAAGAATATTAGGGTTGTCGATAGCTCTAAATAGGTGAAAATAGTAGGGTTGCCGATATCTATAAATGGATAGATATACATATATGAACAGATTATAACAAAGAGATTATTAAACCCATTGGTATCTAAATCTGTTTGTACCTAGAAATGTATTATGTATAGACAAGGGTTGACAATTTTGAATGACAGATTTTGCTTATCAGTATTTTAGCGAATAGGAGAAATAAATTAAGCGTAAGTAGATAATATTATAATACGAAACTTTAGTTTGTTACTCAATCACATAATGAAAGGATTTTTTAACTTCAATGGTATTTTCTTACAGCAAGAGTCTGAAATGCAATTTAAACAAAACTTTAAATAATTAAGCCACTAAATTACTGAAAACAGGCGATTAATGTTTGAAGATATACAAATTTTCTTCACTTGATTCAAATAAATCTATTTTCAGACTGAATTCGCACATATAAAGTTTTATGCTTTTTATTGTGACTTAAATGTCTATACATATATGAACATCGTACTAACAAAACATATACCTATTAAGAGCATAATAATGTCTCAATTAATATTGCCATCATATTGTAATCAAGTTGTATGTGTTACATTTTTGTGTCACACACACATAAACGTATTTAGCATCCCATAAACCCGTTACACAAACAGATTATTAAGGCTTAGAAATATTTGTTATCTTCTTACTTGTTAAGCGTCAGTAATAATTTATGATACCGAATACTTTTTACTTATAGGTATATAATTTTAGTTTCGATATTTCTAATATTATAATACATTTTTTGTAGATACTTATTTAAATTAAAAATAATTTAATTTGGTTTATCAGATAAAATTTTATATAAAATATTTTTATTGAATTTTATAAAACTTTTTATTGACTGTAAACTGTTTTTAGAAGGAAAAAGACACAAAAAAATTATACTGAACTGAAAATTTTACTGGCCGCTTATAGAGATCTCTTTATCCGATAGAAAATGGTTCTTTTTATGACGCCATAAAAGAGTTATTGCTTGGACGATAACAGGCAATTTATAACACTTGCCGCTATGAAGCTTCACAGCTAGGAGTACTTCTCTAACATATTTTTACACTTCAATATAAATAATGATGTTACTTATCTTGTTTAACTGTACAACAGACCCTGCAATTTAAACGACTGACCTAATTCACAGTCTATACAATATATACTCTGTGACGCTACACATTTTTTTTGTTAAAAAATTTGTTTTTTCCGTCAATATCGTTTACAATTGTACAATGAAGTGATTTTATGTTTTTACTTATACAGAATACTGTGATGACAACTGTACTTGCATTTTTTCTTCTATTATTTTTATATATATTTATTCATTAATTTTTTTAATTACATATATTTCCATTCAATAAATAAGTTTTGTCCAATAGAAACAATGTTCTCGTTAGTGATAAATGATAATCATAACCGTGGCAATGAATCAGTAAATTTTACTGTGTTCATATAAAATAGTTTAAAAGGCAACTCCACTCATACTTATATTATCTAATGAAATATCTAAAATAGTTTAAAAAATAATACAATTATTTACTTTTTTTTGTAAATATTAATATCAATTCATCCACAGATATAAAAAAAAATATTATTTTACCATAAAACACTGAATACTGGAGTTGTATAATGTAATAATTAATATTATGCATAACAAGACTGTTTGTTATATCCAATTACTTACAATTTTTATAAAATAATACTCAAATTTGGACAGAATGACCTGTAATATGTTGATAATAATAATAGATTTGATATAGCAATGTTGATGGATATTGTTATCTAAATATTGTCATCTAAATATTTTTTTGTGATTGTTATAATCATATAAGCAAAGCTGATATCAATAGGAAACTATGTACAACATATTAATTTTATGATTATCACACAAAATTCCCATCAATTTTCAAGTAGTATAGAACTGATGTATTTATGAAAAATAATTGAATTAAGAAAGGAATAACAAATAAAATTCTAGTTTTAAAAATATATCATGTATATTTAATTCATTAATATATATCAGCTGGAGGTGGTCGTCCAAACAATAATTTCCAAGATACAGGTTCCTTTAGTTGTGCAAATAGATCTTTATCTTTGGGGAATATATCATGTACTTTAGTCAAATACCCAATCATCTCATATGCGTCGGGTAAATTATCACCCTCGGAACAGTATTTATACAATATTAGGCATGGTAAAGACTTCTCTTGACAAATTTTGTGCAACAAACATGCGAATCCACCTCCAAATATCTTTATTTCATCATTCACTGACTCATGTTCTGTTAATTTTAATTCTGTTATTTTATCTCTATATGGTGAATTTTCTGTCGCAACATATCGAAATGAGGAGCTTAATACAAGTTTCTTCTCATGTGCAAAACTACTGGTTAAAATAATAACATCCTTTATCCCTTTTGATTTGAATGTATCAACAATATTTGTAAGGAAGCTTCTTGCGTATTTATATATGAGGGGTGATCTTATTTGTACAACAACCAACTTCTTGCTTTCCGATTTGTACACTTCGCAGGCTGATGACAGATTATTGGACTTTAAGTCATAAGGATCATATCCAACGACAGGAATTTGAGCTAGACTATGAACTGAGGCAATTTTTACCATTTTTAAAGATGATATTAACAGATCACATGCAAGTTGGCCGACATTACCAACAGCGACACTTGGTATCACCAGTGTATAATCCTCTAGAGGTTCATCAATAAATAGCTTCCACAAATTATTTGCTTCCATTTTAATTAATCTTCTTAATACAAAATATTTTATGTATTAGTAACCATTTGAATTTTTGCTGACTGTAAGAACCTTCAATGTCAAAACATGTTTGATGTTACAAGTTCATGGCTGATCTTTGTCAAAATCTTGTTGTAATGAAAAATCTTTCCCAGTATATTTATTTTTAAATATTTTTTACTAAAGACTGTAGTAAAATGTGTCCGGCATTAATCAATACTATAGCTTCAATATTTTGCCTTTAATATAAATAAGTATTCTTGACCATTGACAAAATATTTATTAGACCTAATAATTAAATGTTATTTAAACACTGTAAAAAATTAACAAAGATTTGATTTTAAAATTAACAATTTACATAATAATGTACCTAAATGATCGATTTTTTGGCCGGCAGATCCTGACATGACATTGACATAAAATCAAGAATACATATTTCTTTTGGTCGTATGTGATGGCGTTGTTAAGTTTAGTTCAAAATTCTCATTTCTTTGCGAAGGATATGTCTTCTTAATAAAATAAAATACAACAAGCTAGTTATTCGTATTTTTTAATTGATTATGAATGAGACTGAGAGGGTAGATCCGCAATTGGAAAATTTTATCCATAACGAGACACAGAAACAACGGTTTCAGGTAAAAACTATGTGTATTTATTTCTAATTCTCTACCTTAGACTTATTGTGGTTTTCCTTGTCAGATAAATATGTGTACACATGTTTTACGTGATGTCAGTATTTTCCAGAATATTTTTCTTTAGCTCTCTTGACCTTTGGCCTGACTTGACTTCATCGTTGAATGTGGTGTTTACTTTACTACTTAACATGAAATTATCTGTTTAAGGTCCTTGTACATTGTTTAACTGATACCTGCTGGGATTCATGTATGGGCTGGCCATCCAATCGCCTTGATTCTAAGACTGAAGTATGCATTACAAACTGTGTTGAGAGATTTCTAGACGCCACTACTTTTATAACACGACGTCTTATGAACACGACGAAATATCGATCAGAGTCACCACTAGAATTTGAATAATTAATTAATTAAAATGTTCTCTACGATTAAACACTTTCTCTACCGTCATAGAAGGAAATTTGTAGTAACAGGTGCAGTGTTCGGTTCCTTATATTTATTACTGGGCTATGCACAAAAAAGACTGAGGGAATGGCAAGAGAAGGAAGCAAAAAAGTTCTTTGACATGACCCGTAAAAAACAGCATTTTGAAAGCACAGAGAGGACATGTAATCAAACTATACTTTCATTGTCTAAAATAGTTTCAGAAAGCATTGTTGGTATCATTGACACTGAAGTTATAGTTCAGAAACTGAATAACAAACCCGAAAACAAAAAAACATTATGGGAGGAGCTCAAGATAATGATTTTCACAAGAATTTGTGTCCTTGTATATGCTCTATCCATATTAAATGTCACTCTTAGAGTACAATTAAATGTTATAGGGGGCTATCTTTATAAAGATTCTGTGCAAGAAGAAGAACCTCTTATAGATAGTGAATTACAAGCAAAATACTTATCTTTATGTCACCATTTTGTTGGATCTGGTGTTGAAGACTTAGTCCAACAAATAGAAAAGGCTGTCAAAAAAGTTGTAGAATCCATCCCTTTGACTAAAAAAATAACCCTACAAGAAGTAGAGCAAGTGTTTTGGTCTGTGCAAACTATACTGTGCACAGATACCAATGGCGATCCTGTGAAGAAGATGGTTCATTACTTGGTCGACCACACAGTCATTAATGAAGCTAAGTTTGACACTATTGTTAAGGAAACAATGGATATCTTGGAAAGTGATGAAGTCATTTCAGTTGCTATGTCAACTGTCAGCAGGAGTTTCTCATCCGTGGTAGACGAAGTTGCGAATATATTCTCCTCAAAATGGATTCCAACAAAGAAGAATCATTTGGAAGTCTTGGAGAATCACGTGGTTACTAATGGAGCACTTAAATTGGACTGTTCAGAACCATTTGTGGATGTGAATAAAATTGAAATGAGTTTTGTGTTGTTATTGGCACATATGAATAAACTTATCACGGAAAATAATTGTAAAGGCAACATAAACATTCCAGATTTATTAACCCAACAGCTTACATTGAATGAAAAGTTAAAAATATTGGGTGCTAACATTTACGAAGTTTTTAGCAGCCCGTAGTTGTGTAATGGAAATAATTCTCAAATAACATTTCTTTGTGATAATCTAAATTATTGCAGGCTTATGACAAATATTAGTTGAAAACTATGTGGGATGGTTATGTTTAAATATTTCATTATTTGTTTGGGTGATTAATAAATAGTTATTAAAATGTTTGTTTTATTCATTTATACTTAATAATAATTAAACAATCATATAGACTTAATAATTAGAGAAGTTAAATACATTATAACTGCTATATGCTTACAGTTCATACATATCATTGCTCAATATTTCAATTACTTAAATCTCATCTATTGAAGCATAGCAACACAATGCATAAATTGTATCAACTTTCTCAAGAAAAACTCACTTTCTCTTTTAAGGAAGAAGAAATTACTAATTAAATAGTCAGAATAATATAGCTTACAACATTTACCTCATCTACTTATTTGCACCGACATTATAAGCAGGAGCATTATATGCGAAAATAATTACCTATTTGAGAACAAATTCGTATGTACTTGAACTTCTCTATCATTCAAAAAGTAATTTGATATAACTCTACTTACACAGAAAGTTATTCTAGTTTAATATTTACTTAACTATAACAAAATTCTGCCTGTGTACAATATTCATTAATTTTATTTATTATTATCATTGATTCGTAAAAATTACTCAAAATATTTTTTACAAGAAACCAAACCTTTGAATTGACTATTGAGTAAGATACCAAAAACACATAAAACATCTGTAAGCATATTTATTCGGAAGAATTTAATACACAACAAAATATCTTTCGCGAAAATAATTATTGTGTCACACATTAATAAAGAAAAAATGAAACAGCAAAAACTGATATGAAACGATTTTATTTCAACATGTGGTTAATCTATATTGTACATCTATCTGATAGCATAGAAATAAATAAATTTACATTTATAATTATGTATCTAAATAAATAAAATTTACATTTATTTAACATTATACTTAGTAATCATTGCTTATTTAAATGTATAATATAGAGGTGTTATCGATAAATGTACCAAAATAACACTTTACAATTTTTGGCTATTTCTTCTTCTGTTTATCTGTTTCTTTCGTCTAATTGCTAAAATACCTAAAGCGATTATGACGAGACTTTTACTGGGGGAGATATAACGAAATTAATAATAGCTCAGGCTACTTTTACTTCTTTTATCTTTATAAAAATTGATTTTGAATAGATTGAAAAAATTCTTACATGACCACTAATAGAAAATCTTATTTTGAAAAATACGATATAAGAAATATTGAATTTATGTAGATTAAATAAAACTTTTTTAATATTCAGTATTTATATAGACTTTTTTATTTATTTGGGACTGTGTCTGAATATATTAATCTATTACATATTTGTTCTCTAACATTTTATACGACATAACCGTACTCTTCGTAACTACAAATATCTTCCGAACAGTTAATTCTACAAGAAGTACCTACCTACTATAGATAATAAATAACAAATTTCTAAAGATGGCATTCAACTGTGTTTCGATTTTGTAATGTAATTTTACTTATGAACTCGATTGGTGATGTTCTTTTGGCTGTTTCAAGGCTTGTAGCACTATTTCAGGACTTGTTCCCTTAAATAAGGTCAAGAAATTCGATAGGTTAAGTATACTGAAAGCTTTTAAAAAGTAGGTACGTTCACCACGAACGATGTATCTTCAAAGGATAATAAATTTTAACGCTTATAATACCTATTTTCAACATAGGTTAAGATATAAATAAAAACGCATTGAAATTTTCTGTATTTAACAAAATAAATCTAAATGATAAATTCGTTAAAATTCGTTTTCTACTCTGATACTGAATTATATATGTATGTATCATAATCCTATTTATTATTAAACCAAGTTTGAGTAAATTATGTTTTGAAAATATGACCTGGCGAGTTTTTTGTCGATATATAAGGATGAAAACTCATTATAATAGCACCTAAAAGTTATTTGTGAACAGGCTTTAAAGAAATCTTTTTAAGGACAGTGTATTTCGGACCCTTTTGACCTTGTTGAAAACATTGGCTTGGAAAAAAATGTTTTCCATAAAAAATCTTATGTTAATATTTAATGAAAGCTCTTAAAGTTAATTTTTATACCTAGAGACTAGGTGTCTTTAACAGGTACACTCAGTATGTCAAACGAGTCTCTGTGTGAACATTACTAAGTCTAGCTGCAATTTTTTTTGCAACACTTGTATAAGTGTCGTACAAAGCCGCATTGATCCGAGTTCGTAATGTATACAAAAACTACCAATAATTTACAATGTATGATGAAGCTTTAATTTTTTCCCAGAAGCCTTACCGCATTTGAATGAGTGACACAAAATGATTTTTATAAAATATATAAGTATATTTTAAAAGGTTTGTACTATTTTTTTTCAATTATTATGAAGCAGCTGGCTAAAAAAGAAAACAGTCATTTTTTTACTAGTGGAGCTCTGTATTATAATGTATTCTTTATCAAAAACCAATATACCTACAGAAAAAACAACATCGTAAAAAACTGCGAGAGGAAAGGTGGTCTCGTTTCCTTGTAGCTATTTCTATCAGATAAACTCTTAGGTAAAGAAGAATTTTTGGATGTAGTAAATGGTGAAACAATTAAACCAATATATATACAATGTTATTATAATAAAAACTTTTAAAAAAGTAATTAAAAATATTCAGTACAGTAATAATAGCAAACAAATACTTCTTTCGTGTTTCCACATTTTAGGATTTTTGTATTACAATAGTATCTAGTAATAACGGCTGAACAATGTTATTTGTGTTAACTAAGCATAACTAACAAATTAGTTTGAGATAGAACAGGTCATTCACAATAATTTAATTGCACTTAAAATCAGATACTTCTCAATCACAAAACCGCGCATAAGTGTGAACAGCAGAAACATTATTGTTTATATTTATGACATAGTCTATGCGTGTCATTAAATGTCAATGTCAAATGTCATATCAGTTATTTACCGTCATAAATATGTCTGATTCCATCAGAGAGATAGTAAGAATTAAAATATAGATAGATACCCGTCACCACGCCGGCTATGGAGCCATGGACACAATACTATATTAAAAAAATATAACACACAGACCGCAATTATACGTTCTAGTAGGCATAGACCGTTTCACGTCTGGTGCGTTTATAAAATAGATACATCTGCATTGAGTGTAGATTTTTTAAAATAAGGAGGATATATATATATATATATATATATATATATATATATATATTGTACGTATACTTCATAACTATGCATTATCAATGACAGAAAATACATGTCTCTGGCAGGGAGATAAAGATTATTATTGATCCTCGAAGAGACAGAGCGATTTACGGTTTTAAATCACCCAAATTCTAAGGTGATATTATTTTGTAGGACTTTCCTATTTTATTTTAGACCAAATATCATTTGAAAAAAAACTATAATGAAGAAAATTTTGTCTTAACTCTTACATCAATACAAGTTCAAGGTAAAGAAAAAATTGTAGGTATAAATAAAAATTACTGCATCGATTCTTGTTATTAACTGCTTTACTACTAAATCGAACAAAAACTACATAAAATAGACATTACAGATTTTATTAACAAACGATAGAATCTTGTACAAAACTAAATAAAACAAATATAATCTAATTTAACTTATGTGGAATATGGTGACTTATCATGGTATTCAATGGGAGTTTTAGATTGCTACGACTTAAGACGTTACGTGGGCCTTTACGCGGAATGCCTCCAGGGCAATTTTCGCTAGGGCAGAATTCAGAAAAGAGTAAAAGACTATTGAAAAGGGGCTTAAGGAAAAAGATTACATAATACAATGAGCTCTTAAATTTAACAAATACAATAGTTGTAATGACTGAAACTATAACTCGTTATTTTAAAATATCTGTTTGTACGTTTATAACCAACGATTGTCTTCTTTTAAATACAAACGCCGTCCACCTTTGGATAGTCTCATACTACTTGAAGTGAAACATAGATCGGAGTTATAGAATACTTTTATATTTTAAGGTATGGATAATAGTCAGGGTATTTACATTTGAAGCTTTTATTAATAAGTAATAAAAAAATATATAAGATTTATCTGTCAGTGTATTCCTAAGTAGACAAAAGTTGTACATTGGCAGATATACTATAAACGATTATCATCAATATATGTTGATGATGATGAAATGTCTGGGGCTGACTCTGGACGGAAGGTGGAACTTCCGGGAGCACTTTCGCGGGTTAGTCCCGAAACTCCTCGGGACGGCGAATGCTCTCGGGAGGCTTCTCCCCAATCTCGGCGGTCCGAGTGTGGCATGCCGGCGTTTATACACCGGTGTGTTACGCTCAATGGCGCTGTACGGAGCTCCAGTGTGGGTCGGTGCCCTCACAAGGCCGAACTGCACAGAGTGCAGCGCGTCATGGCGGTGAGGGTGGTACGAGCATACCGCACTGTCTCTCATGAGGCGGCTTGCGTGCTGGCTGGGACGCCTCCCTGGGAACTGGATGCCCAGGTTTTGGCGGAGGTTTACCACCAGCGCGCGCGAGATCGATCCCGGGGAACGAGTCCGGACCGGGATCGGGTGGATAGTTGGCGACGATCTGCGCGGTCGTCCTTATTTCATCGGCGGAGGCAAAGGCTCTCTGAGCCAGTGGCCGGGTTGCGAACCGTGGAGGCTATTCGCCCGCTCCTCATGGAGTGGGTGGACCGCCGACACGGATCCTTGACCTTCCGGCTGGTGCAGATCCTCTCGGGGCACGGTTGCTTCGGGAGGTATTTGTGCCACATAGTCGGGAGAGAGCCGACAGCGACGTGTCACCACTGCAGTCGCGTGGAAGACACCGCTGACCACACCTTGATGGAATGTCCAGCGTGGATATCCGAGCGTAGCCAACTCATCCGCGTGGTTGGCGCAGACCTTTCGTTGCCGGCAGTGGTCCAGGCCATGGTCGGCAGCGAGAGGGCATGGCAGGCGGTGGCCGACTTCAGCG